GGCTTTATACAGCTATAACCTGGTGCTCATCAGAGTTCTTATCCATAGGGAACGTTTCTAATTTATGTCAGAATAAATCAGCATAAATCCTTCTATTGTGTATGTAAGATTGCGTTACACCGGTAGTGAATCTGCAGGGCCGGCTCCAGGCACCAGCTTGGCAAGCAGGTGCTTGAGGCGGCCACTCTGGAGAGGGGCGGCAGGTCCAGCTATTCGGCCGCAATTCAGCGGACGGTCCCTCACTCCCGCTTGGACCTTCCGCTGAATTGCCGCTGCAGATCACGATCGTGGCTTTTTTTTTTGGCTGCTTTGGGGGGGCCAAAACCCTGGAGCTGGCCCTGTGAATCTGGCCCAGTAAATGCAAACACTTTACACCAAAGCACTAGATTCTGCAGGCTCAAAATCCATTCTTCTTTCGCTCCCTGCTTTCATCATGACCCTGTCTCTCTTTCTCGATTCTCTCACATTCCTTCCCTTTCTCTCATCTTCTCTCTCTAGCTCTTCCCCCTTGCCCATAGCCCTTCTCTCCTCCTCCTATCTGTGTTGTGTCCTCTCTCTTCAGTCCCCTTTCTCCCTGCTTCCCCATCCTTTCCCAGCCAAATCTTTCTCAAAATCCCAGAGGGGAAGAGAGAGCAGCAGGGGGTATCTGTTAAAGGTACACTCCTCCCTCCTCCCCAGCATGTGGGAAATCAGGGGTGGGCAGTGTCTTTTTCTCTTCATCCAAAACCTCAGTCTGAAGGAGGAAAAGCCTTGTGGATATTGGGGTTTGCTCTGCCTCCCCCTCCCAGTCCCTGGTGGGAGGAGCCCTGAGATGGCCTCTCCACTTCTCGCTCATCAACATTTACTCAGAGCTCACAGGCATTTTCTGTCAATTTATATCCAGTGCTCAAAGTCTGGACGCAAACGCTGAACTTGATTTATGTGCTTGCTCACTCTCTCCCTCTTGTCTCCATGTGGAGAAACTTTTCTCAACCTGTGAACTGTGACCCCAAATTGGTTCACCAGAATGTACCAAAGAGTGGTGTGGGAGGCCTGATGGCAGAAGGGTCCAGTCCTGCCCCGGGGAGGTGGGGTTGCCCTGGGGGGTTGCAGAGCCTGTCTCAGTCACCTCACTGTTTCAGGGCTTTATACAGGCCCTTCTTGTTCCTGTTCAGCTGAGCCTGCTTCCAGTTAGTGGCCCCTTCGCAGCCTAAATCTCTCCCCTGCTCATGCTTAACTGGTTGTTTGGACCTCTCAGGGCAAGTGTGGGGAATACAGCCCTTCACAGGTTCCTGCAGCTATGGTCCCATGGGCCTGACTGGACTTGCCTTCCTGCTCTGGGGTTGCCGTGCTGCTCTCCTTTGACCCAGCCAACCCTCTGTCATGAGGGGCCAAATTTCAGGGAGTGGGGCTGAGCCCCATGTGCCAGGTCACAATGCCACACACAAAAATACGGGGGTGGGTGGACTGGGCCCAATCTGAGCAGTACGGCATCCCCAGAGGTCACAATGCACTGAATGGGGAGCCAAGCCCAGCCACCCCACGGAACAGGAGTCACAGGAGCTGCTGCTATGGTGCTCACCATGTACTTGCTTTGTATTTATTACATCCATGTATATATTGTATATCATGGGTGAGAAATATTTAGTAAGCCAGATGTGTTTGCACTAAGATAGGGTTACCATACGTCTGGATTTTCCTGGACATGTCCGGCTTTTTGGGCCTCAAATCCCCGTCTGGGGGGAAATCCTGAAAAGCCGAACATATCCGGGAAAATAGGGAGGTGCTGTGCCGTTGGCCGGGCTGGGGCCGATGGTGCTGGGCCGGGGC